TTATTTTTTTTTTTTTCTTTTAAAGTCCCTTTACTTACAGACAAAGCTAAAGTTTATTTTTAATTTTTGTAACTTCTTTGTTTTATGCTAATGTTGATGTTAATTTTTATGTAGTCACAATTAGCGGTGGTGAGCGGTAGGGGGTGTGCAAAAAATTAACATTTTCTTTTGTTGCTCTAAATAATTGAAAATTTGAATTAAAAAAAAATTCTTGAATAAATTTAACCAGAAAACATGTTTGATAATTATCAATAATATTCTTGTTGAGAAATTTTCTTAGTTTTCGAGCCGAAAAACTATATATTTGTCATCAACGCTAATAAATATATTTTGTTAAATTTAATATGACAGATGTAAATTATTTCAAGATTTTACTTGAATAAATCAGTTATTTGTCGAGATAAATTATTTGAGATTGTAAAGTCATGAGAAGATTGCTCAAAACATCTTCGTTGATATATTATTTGATGTGTGTTTCAAAAACTAGGTGGATGACCTAGAACCGTAATTTGAACATTTCAGAGGATAATTTATATAAGTTAAGATGTCAATTAACAATCTAGTAAATATTGTAGTTAATTATGATAGTTGACTACTTTATTTTCAAGCGTTTGTTAGTTTGAAATTTATATTATTAACACATTGTTTTTACAATTAAAATATCATTGTCTATTATTTTGCTAGCAAATAAATTATTTATTTTACGAAATTTAATCATTGAGTTTTATTATTACATTTTTTCATAAAACTTGGTATGAAATTTCGCGACTGCAAAATCAGATGCTAGCTTCTAGACAAATTAGTAGTTACATTTCACCAATAAATTTTTTTTTTTTTTCGATAAAAATTTCTCCGTTTTTTAACAGGCTAATTTCTTAAAAATCTTAATATTTTCTTTTCTATAATTTTATGTTTTTTTTTTTTTGAGATTGTTGATACATTATTATCATGATTATCATCCAGAAGTTGAAGCCTGAATCGCATTATCTTAATTGACATCTGGATAAGTTGAAGTTTACTAAAAATATCCACAAACTTGTAGAAAGATTTTATAATATTCAGTTACCTTGAAATTAGTTTTTGATTTTTCAGCCATATATATTCCGAGCAAAAATTTTAAACTTGGTTGATAATTGCTAATGCAAATATAAAATATTTGAGTCAAAATATTAAACTTACATTGGTCTTACGTAAAATTTAATGACATAACTTCGGATTCACATGTCTTAATATAATATTACCAAATAATACATATATTGAATTCAGGTTATATTGAAAATAACTGTGAAGTCTTAACGGTTCTGAAGTTAAAGAATCTTCTTTTTCTCGACACTCCATATGCTTCAACTTCCTTCTTTAAAATGTTCTTTTTTAGGGTTTATTCTTATGTTACAGTTGAAAAAAATATATATTTTATTGAAAATCATTTAATTATTCATTAAGTTTTCAATCATTGATAAAAATAAATTTTATCGATAATTAAATTATATTTGGACAATCTAATTTTAGAAGGTCAATGGAAAATAACTTCATTAACGATTTAATTTTAAATGGATGGATTTAAATAATTCGAATTGATAATTGAAATTTTTTTATGGGTTAATAATCAATGTAAAAAATTTAATTTTAATAATTCCTTGAATGTTGGACGTTTTTTTTTTTTAATATTAAAGCTAATAGGGATTTTTAGTACAAGTAAATTATAAAGAAAAATTAAAAAAACAATTCTACATGTGAAGATTTTGAAAAACTATGAATAGAATTTTGTTTTAATATTTTCTTAGAAATAAGTAATTTTTCAAATAAAATTAAGAAATTAATTTTATAAAAAATACACTTGTTGAAAATATCAAAAATAATTTGTATTTTTTTCGAAGGATATATTTTCGCAAAATATATATCATTTTTTATACATGAAACATAAAAAAATGAGAGAATAATAATAGTAACTACGGTAGATTTCCTCGATTTTTCTAATACATTTTGACCTTTTTTATTGATCTGATAGAAGTTTTTATTTGTCATATTAAGCAATTTTCACTCATTCAGCCCGCGTTCTTACTTCAAGAATTAACTTCATTTTTTATCACATTGTACTCCAGACAGTAATTGTGCTAATACAACCTTTTATCATTGACGTCAACTCTGAACTTTTGTATTATGTCCAGAAATTTTTTAAACAATAAATTACTTTTATACATAAATCCTAAAATTAAAAAAAAAAACCATTCTACAGCCGAAATGGAAGTAGATTTCATGATGAATTCAACAACTACGAGAATCGTAAACACATCTGTGTATTTTTAGTATATTGTAAAAACACCAAATTAACAAGTGCACATCTAAAGTCATTAGTAATCAATGAACACCTCAATTTTGATCACTGTATATTTCAATATGACTAAAATAATTATTTCTAAAACGAATGCAAAAATAAAATTCCATTAAATAAACAGATAATAGGTAATTTTTTGCCTAGACCGATGGTTGAATATGCAAATTGAGGCTCATTCATTAAGCTTTCAGATGTAATTTACAAAAATTTTAGAGAATATTGCATTCAATAGTTATTTCGCAAAGAAACAGTAAAAGTATCAATTTTCGAGAATTTTGAAAAATTCACATTGTTGTTATTCTAAATTATTTAATTTAGAAAAAAAAAAATAAGTATGCTAATTACAGCTCAATTAATGAGCTTTCAAGCAATTGACCGAAATTTGATAGGATATCACGTTTGATTGTTACTGCGCGGAAAAACAGTAAAGTGAAAATTTTTGCAATTTAAAAAATTTGCGAATTGCTGTCAATTTCAAACTAATGAACTCATTTGGCTCATCTTAGAACTAAACCTCTGAATTCGTCCAAAGAATAAATATGTTACGTTTCATTAAGATCCGTATAGTTTGCAGGAGTTATATAAATTTTTGAACCATACACTGAAAAAAAAAAATTATCTTGATTCAAGAGGAAAATTCTTGAACCAAGAAAATAATTTTGAAGAGGGTAATTCTCTAGAATCAAGACGAAAAATTTTTTAATCAAGTAAAATTTACTTAAACCAAAGGAAAAAGACCCCATTAGTGGCGGGGACCCCATTACTGACAATTTCTTTGATTTTGGTACTTATTCAATTAGTGAAATCATTAATTTCAATAATGAATATATTATTTTTAATCTTTAAGACCTTTAGATTAAAACATTTTTAATTTTTATTCCAAGTAGAACGTTTTTTCATTGAAAGAAAAAGTGCCACTAATGGGGTCTTTTACCTAAGTAAATATTTCTTAGTTTAAGAATTTTTTTACTTAAATCAAGAAGATGAAGTTCTTCAAAATTATATACTTGATTCAAGAAAATTTTTTTCTGTGTACACAGAAAAAATAAATTTCTTGCGCCAAGAAAATTTTTGCCAAGGAAGACAAAAGTTATTTTGGAGTAAGATGAAATTTTCTTGATTCAAGAAAATTATTTTGGCTCATGAAACTATAACTTCATTCAAGAAACTTTCAATCTTCCTTAATATTTTCTTGAACCAAGAAAATTTACACTCGTTAAAAAAATTTTTTTTTTTCAGTGTATGTATTTTCGGAATCCGCTTGTCGAAATATAGCAAAATTTTTCAAAAGTTTCATCATGAGGACCAATGCAATAGTTAGATTTTGATGAAGTAGACTAAAAAGCTCTGCTGTAATAAACAAAAAAAAACTTTTCTTATAAATAATTGATGACACTGAAGTTAGCAGACGTCTAAAAATTTTTGATTTTTTTTCTTAAATTAAATTACAACTAAAAAGATATTTCTAAAAAATTGCACTTATAGTTTTTCAAGTTTATTAACATGTGACAATTTTTTTTTTAATTGTTTAATTGAAATTTCTTCAATAAAAAATTTCTAAAAATTTTAAAATATCAGCTAACTTCATTTTCATAAATAATTGACCCTTTTGATCAGCGAATAATCCATTCAAGTAATAGTACCAGTAACAGGAATGGTAATAGTGACAGTATAACAGTAATAATTATATTAGTTAAATGTAATATCCCCGATAGTAGACAGTGCAGCGGAATAATGTATTAATGTATATATATTGTAAAGTAGTATGTAATGTAAAATGTAACTAGAGAGGTTAAGTATTAAGTAAATGATTAAAGAACAGTGGGGACGGGAATCCCTTCTATCTGAGCTAAAAACTCCGAGATGTTAAGTTCATCTGCTCCCTACCTCGATTGGCACTGCCACCTCCACCAGGAGTTAATACCCCGCTTTAACAAACGAAACTCCCACTCTTACTCGGCAAGCTCTTGAGTTAAGTCCATAGTGATACCAAACACAAACGATATGTGAGAGAAGTGTATTGGAATTAAGTGATATTGCACACATATAAATGAAATATATACACAAATACAGAGAATTTAAAACGTCTGGCTTACGGAAACTCACCGGCACGCGGCGTAGCGGCAGCAGTACACAGTTGAGCGTAAGCGCAACTCATACACACGCACTAATTTAACACAGTGTTGGTGTGTAGTGTTAGGCGAGTGTCGGAGTGTCAGTCTTCTGGCATCACACGCGATACGACGACATTGAGGCCAGGAGTAGAGAGAGACCCTACTAGACTACACTCTACTACTGGCACTCAGTCGGGTCCTGGTAGACTGTCGAGTTTCTCGAGTACAAGTTGAGCCAGTTGCCAGTCAGGAGCGCGCTTTCGTTCTGAGCGGACGTGTTTCTACGCTTTTTCAATTTTTTAATATTTATTAATATTTTTGTTACCTGTCAACTGTGCGTTTAATTACTCATCGCTAATTGATTGAGATATTTTACAACAATTTTTAAATTTATATTTTTAAAAAATTATTTTTTTGAAAATATTTTTTTTTTTTAAATAAAAGTGGATTGATTTTTTTATTTTTTTGAACCAAGTGATACAGTTTTGTTTGAGTGAATTTTTACAAAATTTTATATTGGATTTTTTTGTCAAAAAAAAAAAAAAAAAGCAAAAAAAAACAAAATATTCAAACCGCTATACGGAGTAGACAAAGTGGATCTCGGTATTAGCGCGAAGTCGCGCTTTACACAACAATTAACAATTGGTAAGTTTTTTTTATTTTATTTTAACAAAGTGAAAATTTAGCAGAAATTTTACAACTATAAAAACTGTCAAATATCTGCTACATTTAAATACAAAAAAATGTGGACAAATTTTTTTTAATTATTTTTTTTCAGTTTTGACAGATTGCCGGAATTTTTTAAAACTAACGGAAAAAAATTAAAAATTTTATGACACTGAAGTTGACAGACATAAAAAATTTAATGGCAATTAAATTATTATAAAAAAAATTTCACATGTGAAAATTTTTAGAAGCATTTTTTTATTGCAATTGATGTGTGATAAAAATTTTTAAAATTAACAGCTGACGGCTAACTTCAGTATTATAAAATTTTGTGATTTTATTTTTACTCGTTTGAAAAAACCAAAAAATTTAAGTGATAAAGTATCAAACCTTCAGACTGGTGATAGTAAAATATTATAATTATAATTATTTAGTTGCACAATAAAAAATTACATCAACATCCTCGATTAATTCTATGTCGAGTGAAAAAGTTCGACAAACTTGATGTAATATAATATAAGCGCAATCTTGTTATCAATTAGAATCTTGGAAACTAAAAAATAATAAAATTTTCTTTCTAATGTGCATAATAATAAAGACCTTGCAAGAAATTCACGTTTCTTCGAATGTGACTACTACTGCAGCAATTATTGTTGCGTCATACGAACTCGTGTAACCCGAGTAACTATAGTGTTCTCTATTTTATTTAATGCGCTTGCGTTCATCAGCTTTGATTCTTATTTACATTCACTTTATCGCTTACAATTTTTATAGTTTATTATTTATCAGAAATTAAACTTATTTTTTGGTTTTTTTAAATAGTCAAAATTTTATTTTCTACACCTGCATATTTTTTTTAAATTAATTTATTAAAAAAATTATAGATATTTTGAAAATATCTATAATCCAATATTTTAAATTGTAGATATTTTTAATTTTTATTTAGAGTAATTTTAAATTTTATAAAAAAAATTCTAAGGTGTTATTTTAAATTGATAAATTAAAATAATTATTTATTTATTTATTTATTTATTTATTAGATTAAAAAAAAATTAACCGGTAAGCACGTGGTGAACATGCCGCTCCGAAGTCCGAATAGCCAATGATCGGCGCAGATTTAGTTAGCGAGTAAACTCCCACCGAGACCCTTCTCTTCTCTCTCTATATCTATATCTACTCGCACTCAGTGTAGTTTTTATTGACGGTCTTTATCTGTAATAACAACAACTGTTACTTAAATCTTTACTTAACGTTACCATTAATACGTAATGTATTTTCTTAATAAAGTGGGCCACGGCCTAATTCATACATACACTCCACTCAGAAACATATATTTATAGGCAGTGGTGTGTATGCAGGGATAAAAAATTTTTACTCCAACAATTGCAATTAAATTCATGGACTCAAGACGGATAAAATGAAGGGCAAGCTTATATTAACTTATTTCAAGGACGGGATAATGTCATTTTTAAAATATGCACACTCAGATTTATTTTATGAGATTTAAATGAAGCAAATTATTCCCATTCAATTTTTGCTGAAAAAAATTTATCAATAATTAAAAAATACACTCATGGTAGTTGACGTAATTAATAAAAATATATTGAACTTGTAATAATTGAAAATATTAAAAATTATAAGACTAAATTTTTTAAATTGAAATTTTTTTGAATGTTAATTAGAATTAATAATTTAGTTGCTGTAACTATTAAAATAGAAATATTGAATTTATTACAAAATTTAAACGATAAAAATTGATATATATATTACACACTTCTCTTTCCCTTGTTTTTAAAAGTGAGCTAATATTGCGTCATAAAATTATTCCTTGAATAAATTATTTTCTGGCATCGACCTCATCATTTATTTTATGAAGTAACTACTTCCATAATCATTAAAATTCAATTAATTGTGATTGAATAATTTAATTTACAAGATTATAATCATTATACTAATGTTAACAAGAATACCTTTTTAATCACACACCAGAGCTCTAATTAATAGTAATAGTGAAATTAACGCTTTGTATAAAGATTTTAAGTGTAAATTAAAAAAAGGTTAGTTGGTAGATAACACAAAAGTTAACGGGATTAGAAAAGAAAATCTATTACGTTTTATAACTATTTTAACATCTGTCGCTATCTTAAATTTAACAAAGTATTTAGTCAATTACTAATTACAGTAACATACGTGTTTACTTATTTAAAAGTAGTTAAAAGTAATAAAAACTACTATCTTATCTATAATCATTAAATAGACCTAATTTGCCATACAATTTTTATCTCAATTGAAACTATTTAGTTAATAAATAAACCAAAAAAAAAAAAGTTACTCACTGCCTTTAGTTTATAATCTATTACGCGTTAAATAATCGCTTATTCAAATTAAATGATTATGATTACTCCTTTTAATCTTAGTTATATTTTTTTCTAAGATTTGTTATTGAGGAAAAAATTTTGAATTGATAAACTCATCTATGTATATTATGTTATGATATATATTATATATGAAATAAAAAATAATATCGAGTAATTGCCACGTGCGTCGACGATTCCGCAACAAGCCAAGCAAACACGTGCGTCCCGACTTAATAATCAACTTTTTAAAAAAAATAAAAAGAATTATAGTTAAAGGTGTTTTTTAGTTAATATTTATTTAGTGAATTGCGTGGTTGTTTTATACAAATTTATATTATCCGATTGCTACGACAGTTTTTTGTAATATAATGTTTTATTTTGTAATCACTTTATTAGTCACTATAATTTTTTTTTGACTACTGAATTTTTTTTTTATACCTGTAATATTTTTTTTAATTAATTATTATTATTATTATTATAAATTTTTACATAAAATAATTCAACAGATAAATTTTAAAAAATTTCCACAAAAATCTAAAGATAATAAAATATCAACTTCCTATTACAAAATTCTCAGTAATATTTTTCGTAGTAATAGTAAATAGTAACTCATAAACCCACAAGGTTTATCAATAATTAACTCTATAAATAAATAATTAAATAAACAAACTCGAACATAAAAAAACAATTCGCAATAAGGTTTTCCGCGTGCGTCACACTATTGATCGAGACAAATCACAAATCACAATCGGCTTTGCCCCTGAATCCTTGATGTTTGATGTATCATGTCCTGAAAACCTCGGAACAATCCTTGACTAACTTAGCAAAAATGACTCACGCTTATTAAAAAATAACTGTCAACAAAAACTAACTAAATTCACCTGAAACTATATTTAATTCAATATCATATATACCATTAACATTTCCTCGAAAAGATTCACTCTACATATACATAATATTCTATAATACAACATAACAGTTTAATCCAATGACTCACACACCTAATTGCATCATAATTCCTCGAAATAATCGATCAATAAATATCGCGTGTAGTCACGTAATAGTTTTAACCCATTCAATTACATTAATTCTTAAATTATTTATTCGTCAATGTAATTCCTCAAAATAAATCGATTGGGTGCAATTTGGGTATAAAATCAAAAATACATTATGTCATCGTCAGAATTTCATTTAAATATTAAAAAAAAATTAATTATATTAATATTAATAAATATATGAGTACTATACTAGTATATAGAGAGTTTCCTTGGCGGCTGACATTCACCGTTGCCTGTTTAGTTATATTAGAATTAGAATGATACAGACGTTGTTAAATACATATAGATATCAACATATACATAATATCATATACATATGAATGGTTATTTTCTTTACGGGCATGTGTAATCTGTTATTCCCGCTATAATATATATACTAATACGTGTCTAAAGCCTGCACGTGGTACAAACTTTTTTAAAAAGAAACACATATTAAACGCATGCGCTTACCCATGCCTGATATTACATAAGTTAAGTACCCGGCTCGTGCTTCAATATATAAGTATGCTCGGTGAGCATATTATATATATATATATGTGTGTAGTTGATACATGACACAACATACATGCAATGTCGCGTTACTGTACTCCACTCGGAGTAGTATATGCAATGACGCAATGATATCACCAGACCTATCTCTTATTACTGTGTCTCATTTCCAATGAGTTAAGCTGAGCCTGCCTATTGTTGATATATCTAGACATTTAATAACATCGTATTGTAACATAACATCTTTAATATAACGTTATTAAATCTATTGCATAATATATTATTTTATGATGTATGATCTAGCGTATGAAAGTATAATATTAGTATGAGCGACGACTATTTTTTTTGGAGATACTGATAAGATTTATAGCGTTAGTTGTGTAAATTTGACAACCTTGTATCGTGTCCGGCCTTGACTCGACTAACATAGTAGTAAAGTTATTCAATTTATAACATCAGGAAGGAGGCAAACGCTTATATTAAATTCGACAGATCAACGACCTTTGTTTGTTCAGCGACATGTGGCCTTGCGGTACTATACGATGGATATTGCTTGTAATTTTAATTATTATTTTATATGGTGGATTATTACGTTATTTCATGATTAGAAGCTTTGGGTTTAGTATTTTAGTTGAAAAATACAAATTTTGAAGTATTAGTTTAAATTAAATTATTTTTATGTAAAATTTGTACACTGATAGAAGATTTGTTTGTAATTAAAAATATTTGTTAATATTTTTTAGTATTTAAAATGATTTGTTTGTATTTAATAAATCTGATCGGCTGCCCAATTTTAAAACACAGTAACTGCAAAATTTTTATGCCTGTTTTTTTTTTTTTTAGTATTATTTTATTTTTTATAATTTTTAGACCTTAATTTAAAGTATTTTTTTTTAAATATTTACATTCAAGTAGTTTCTATCCATAAATTAAATTTTTCATTAATTTGGCGGGCAAACTTTTCGGCTGCCCAATTTTAAAACGCAGTAACTGCAAAATTTTTATACCTGATTTTTTCTAGTATTGCTGCATTTTTTATAACTTTTAGACCTTAATTTCAAGTATTTTTTTCTAAAAAATATTTATATTCAAGTATTTTCTATTCACAAATCAAATTTTTCATCAATTTGGCGGGCAAACTTTTTTTCAATAAGAAAAATTGAAAAAAATTTTTAAATGTTAGTTATTGAGTTTTGAAATTGAGCTAATATTAATAAATTTTTTTAAATACTAAGAAATATTTTTTAAGGACCAAAAAGTGGTCTTTAAATAATTTGTTAAATATTTTTAACTATAAAAAAATTCTTTTATCAGTGTAGGAATTAATCTGGCAATTTTGGAGGGCTATTCTAATTCGGATGTAATTATGATTAAATTCACATTAAATATTTAATTGAGCTATTTTAATTTATTGTATCCGGGTCTGGAAAGTTAAAAGCTCTATTAGATATCAGTTTTTTATAATTGTAATTTAAATTTTGTCATTTAATAAATTAATCATTTTAAATAATTGTAGACACATTAAAATATTAGTACGCGATAGAATATACATTTAGATATATATATTTAAAGAGAGTACTTTGAGAGTAACTCCCCTAATAGCAAGTAATATAATCGGTTTGGTCGTGATCATACCTCTTGCTTGCCCTCCTCTGTCCCTTCGTCGTACAATTGAATGTACATGTACATTGTATATATATATATAAGACTTTGAATCGAGTAGCATACGGCCAACACCGTCCCAAGGCTCAACACCAGGGCTCTTGTGTAACCGCATAACTACGGTTGAGAATGCACGTGTTCTATCGTCGTCAGGGATTGTTCGCCGAAGTTGCATCAGTTGACCCACATTCGCGATACAGCTAAGATTGTTGTCTTATTTTGTTGTTATTATCATTATTATTGTCTATGATAAACGCAATGTAATTAGTGTTACGTATTATTGCTGTAATTTTAATTCGTAGATAAAGTTAAATATGTAAATCCAAGTAGTATCAATGTTAATGTTTTTAAAATCGCACTAATCAGAACAATGATGTATGATACCGGAAAAATAGTGGTCACGTTATAACTTTGCGGTACGAGGTCGTCGGCTTCGATTTCCTCATTCCATATATCTTGTGATTTGTACGTGTGGCCTTATTATAAGGTCAACGATGCGTTGTCTTTAAGCTAGACAGTGTAATAAATTAATACGATAATCCTTGATTTCATTTAACAGGAGGTTTCTCACTCACTCCTTTAAACTTAATTAACATCCTAATGTTATCATTTGTAAGATATAATTATTATGACTCAAGTGTTTCTTTTATTACACTGATAAAAAATTAACTGAATCATTAAAATCATTTTTAAGGATTTTTCCGGTTGATTCAGAACAAAGAAATTTTTTTAAATAATTTTTTTCTTGTCATCAGTTAAATTTATTTTTTTTTTATCAGTGTAATTTACACTAACAATTTCTATTTAAGCTTATCGTTAATTTCTTAAAAAACAAAGTACTTATTGTAATTTACCCTTTTTTTTTTTTTCAACTTTAATTTTTCCTCCATCTAAAAAAAAAATTAGGTAATTATTATGACATTAAATTTATCTATCACTTCACAATTTTTAAAATTTTCTTTAATAAATAAATTACGGCAAAAAAAAATCATTTTAAAAAATGGACTTGTAGAAATTTAATAAAATTAAAAATACAATTTTTTGGAACAAATTTTCTTGTTGAAGAAAATAAAAAAATTGTCAAGTGACAGCTAAATTTAATGTCTTTGAATTATTAATAAATATACAACCACCTTAGAATTTTTAAAAACACTTAAAAATAATAATTATCAACTAGGAATATTTAATTAATAATAACTTGATTGAATATTGAATTTACCTATTTTTCCTCCATCTAAAAAAAAAAGTTAGTTAAATTATTATGACATTAAATTTAGCTATCATTTCACAATTTTTAAAATTTTCTTTAATAAATAAATTATGGCAAAAAAAAAAAATCATTAAAAAAATGAACTTGTAGAAATTTAATGAAATAAAAAATGCAATTTTTTAAAAATAATTTTTTAGAAAAAATGTTCTTGTTGAAGAAAATTAAAAAATTGTCAAGTGACAGCTAAATTTAATATCATTAAATTATTTATAAATATACAACCTTAGAATTTTTAAAAATAATAATTATCAACTAGGAATATTTAATAAATAATAACTTGATTGAATATTCCTAATTAATTAAAAAAAACAAAAACTAACAAATAATTTCTTTCTGTTGCAGATGTTATAAGAAGACAAATTATGGTGGCAGAGTTCATTGCCCGCCAGAGTGGATCGCCCATAAACGGTGAAACCGCTTGTCTTAACAGCAACATGCCAGCGAGCCACACAATGGCCCATCCCGGACAGGGGTCACACGGAGGGCACGAGGCCCACGGGCCAATGCCACCTCTAACCCACCCGGGGCACCACGTCAGCCAGCACCAGCACCAGCACCAACAGCACCACCAGCAGCAGCACCACCAGCAGTCCCAGCAGCAACAGGTCTCCCAGCACCACCAGGCGCAGCAGCAACAACAGCAACAGCAGCAGCAGCAGCAGCAACAGCAGACGCAGGCCCAGGAGCAGCACCATCATGACCAACAGGTGATACATCCCGAGAACTATTCCCCGAATTTTGACATCAGAAAGGAACTATTCTCACAGCGCAAACAAAGGGAGTTCATTCCTGACAACAAGAAGGATGACAGCTACTGGGACCGCCGCAGACGGAACAACGAGGCCGCCAAGCGGTCCCGAGAAAAGCGCCGCTTCAACGACATGGTCCTGGAGCAGCGCGTGATGGAGCTCAGCAAGGAGAACCACATCCTCAAGGCCCAGCTGGACGCCATCAGGGACAAGTACGGGATCTGCGGGGAGACAGTTATCAGCCCGGAGCACGTCCTCGCAGCTCTCCCCTCCGAGCCGGCCATGAGCGTCAAGCGCGCCAAACTTCCACCGTCGGCAGCGCTCCTCTACGCCAGGTCGCCGAGTCCCGTCCACACGTCTGTGATTCACCAACCAGTAAGTGGCACAAGATCCCCCAGATCACCAGCACAGCTCTATGTCCCAGAGACCAGTGCCTATCCCGAGACCGAGACCTTCCAGTATCCTTACCCTCACCCCGCTATCCACTTTGACACAACTAGCGCCCTAAATCTGTCCTCCAGGGGCCGACGGGCCCAATCACCCTACGAGCTCTCCTCTGGCAGCGGCGACGAGGGCGCGACCATCGTTGTCTCCCACAATCCTGCTGCCAACAACAGCCTACCCCACAAACTTAGGCATAAGTCTCGCATTGGGGACAAAGACGCTGCTAGCGCCCTCCTGGCGTTGCACGGGATTAAGCAGGAACCTGGTCCCAGGGCATCTCCGCCCTGGGACAATGAAGGATCCAGCGACGAGCGCGATTCCGGTATTTCACTAGGTGCTGAGTGGAATGGCTCCAGCATATCCGCGGTGCCTGAAACGGAAACTGAGGTCAAATCTAGGCTTGACAGACTTGCTTCTGAAGTAGCTTCGCTTCAGAGTATTCTTCGTCTTGGTAAAGCAAATGGCGATCATCTGCCTCAACAAGTTACCAACCACTCCGGGAGTACCAACATTACCAGCAGCACTGGCCCTGCCAATGGGTTACAATGAGACACTCAATAAGTGTCGCTGCTTGTCGTGCCAAGATATGTGCTTCGTGTTATATTTAGATTTTTTTTAAAATCAACCGCCTGATATTTTTTAAGAATTTTGTTTTTCGGTTTGGAACTTTTTTATTTTCTCAATTACAGCAGTGCTGAAAAATTTATATTTGTAATTTATATTGTAATTATTATTTTATGTTATAAAGTACTGTAATGGCTGTTTTTATTGTTGCGATTATGCATTATTAGACATTTTCATTAGATAAGTAAATTATATGGTAGTCTTTAGAATTTATTATTATATTATTTTTATCCTTAAATCAAGTTATAATAACCACTGTTATTCTCATTATTATTATTATTAATATTATTTTATTATTATATTTCATTATTATTATTATTATATTTTGTTTATTAAAATCCGCGAAATTGGTAAAGAAAATTATCGCGCAACCGGCTCCCACCACCGCCAGAAATAGCAAAGCGAGTAATTATTGATGTGTATTAAATAAAACAAAACAGGAACAAAATTATCTCGCAAACCAAATTAAACAATGAATTTTAAGATTGATATCTCCGTGTTGTAAATATATGTCAATGGCTTATAAATGTAAATATATATTTATATTTTAATATAATAAAATTATTTTCCATTCGTAATTGATTATTGATAATTGATAACTATTAATATTTTTGGATATGATACTACCAACAACGAGTTAAGGTATTGTTTTTATGAATGAAGGCTTACAGTAGTAATTTATATAGACGAAAAAATAAAAAAATAAATTTAATAGCTATTATTGAGCCGCTAAAATTATAAATTTAATTGTGTGTGATATTACGTTCGAAGTAAATTTAATGGCTTTTCATTATTTTAAAGTTATAATTTGGTGGTTCCGGTGAATTTTATCAATTTTGTATTTTATA